AGAACTAAGAATTTATTTTGCTGCTCACCATTGGTCAGCGTGGTATCTGCGGGCAAACTTGGTGAGCGGCCCTGCGGCCCTGATGCACGAGTCATTCGTGTGGAACGTGGAGTCAATCACGAGCTTCCCATCATACACCAGGCAGGCATCATTCACAGCTGTGGAATCAAAGTGTACACAATTACTCCATCTAGCAGTTGCCTAATGCATTGCAGATCATTCTGTCATTCTTAGCTGTTAAGAAAAAGGAATACCAAACAGTGTACAAGAATAACTGTAACATTCACTCACCTTTGAAGGCATCATAATCTACCATCTTCTGGAAGAAGCTGAGGAAAAACTGGAAAAGAGCAAAATTTTTCATTCACTTATTCACTATTATTACAATTATACTATTATTGCAAACAACAAAACACCAATGGAATATTTTGTGACACAAAGAGGACCGGGAATTAAGAGTTTTTACCGAACACTCCAGCCTGAGTGGCTCTGCTTTGGATGTGAAACAGGCAGACTGAACAAGATCGCCTCCCATCCCATCATTCCACTGGGCCAGGAAGTACCCAGAATGCATCAGCACGCCTGCCTGCGACAGCTCGTTCCGCACCCCCTGCTCGACCAGCGGGTTGTTGAAGCAGGTCGGCTCGTGTGGCTTCAGGGGCGGCTCCACCAGGTGGATCCGGGAACCGTCCACGCCCAGTGCCAGGACGGTCTGTACGCATGTGTATGCATCCAGCGTGTTCCCATACACAATCAGCTGACCTGTAAAACAATATTGTTACCTTTTAAAACAACTGTCAGGTCAAGAAGATTGTCTCCGGAATATTACAGGACGACAGGGGGAGACTTTCCATTTTGCCCTGTCCTTGGTGCTGAATTGGATGTTTATCAATTTTGAAGGAATTAAATTGTCTTTTTACTTCCAAAACCTGTGTTAACACTCTACAGCAGACAGTGATGGCTGTAACAATTGTGGTGCTACCTTCAGTGTTGAGGAAGTCGTAGCGGAGCGTGTGCAGCATGGAGGCTGCGTCGTGGCTGTCGTTGACAGTCATCACGTTCCTCGGGCCCTCCCCGAGGAAGCGACGGTGCGGATTGTTGGGCAGCGTAGCGTTGGTCATCTCCTCCTGGTTAATGTCCGCTTCTGTGGAGGAGGAAAGGTAGGTGGTAAGGTCTTGTGGTCAGAGTTAGAATTTGACTTAGAATTTAGAGGTCCAGTATTTGAATCCTTACCAGACCTTGTGAAAGGCACTTTTTACTGACTTGAAGGGACATAAAGCCAGAGACTTTATGATTGAAGAAAGCCTCAACCTTGAGCATATTAAAGAATCCAGTGATCTGTAAGAGTAGGGATCCATCCTGGTACAGGTGGATCAAATCTTGCAGTCCAGTCTTTCACAGCTCGTACCCACTGTACACAACTGGTGTGTTACACCTTGAGTTTGATTTTGTATGTAAAAGTTGATAGGTTCTGATGATATTGATACATTACTCTGATTATGCAATGCCCATGTTTCCCTACCTGTTGGTGCTGGTACCTGGTACTGCTGCCCCGTGCACAGCACCAGGTGGTCGTAAGGCACCTTGGTTCCGCCCGCCACGATCACGTGTTTTGTCTGGCGGTTGATGGCCACCATCTTGCCAAACACCACGTTGACCCATGACCTCAGCGACGACAGGCTGTGGTCCTCGTGCAGGTAACAGTGGCTGTGGGTGGCAAGGAGGAAAAGGTTTAATATCAGACTGAAATACTCATCTATAGTAATTTTACAAACTTTTCCAACTGTAAGATGAGCACTAACAGTAGTCTTACAGTCAGTACCAAGTCAGATTGCAACAATATGAAAACAGTTCACCTATCATGTGAAACAAACAACAAACAAGTGCTGACCTCTTCCCCAACAGGTTGTCCCTGAGGCTGTCGGGTGCCATCTCCCCAGGCAGGCCGTGGGTGGAGACCAGGGTGATGTTGTTGAAGCGCAGGTGAGGACAGAACGCCAGAGTCTCCAGGTACGACAAGCCAACGTCAGACGCACCAACCACGACAATCCTGGCATTGATGGTCACCTGTCAATCAACACACGACACATACATCAGTTTGGTGAAGATTAGACATCCAGATTGTCACATTAGCTTAGTCTTAAGTATCCTTTCTGAGATGCGAATGTTTAAAAAAAGCTCACCTTGGGTTCCAGGGTAAGTTTTCTGTTGATGTGGTTAACAGCATAGAATTCCTGGTGGAAAAGAAGATAAACAGATTTGAGGAGACTTAATTACTTGTAAGCAGGTTCAATTGGGCTAGGTTTTCTACACTGCCAAAAGACAATTCAAATGGAGATGGTTGAAAATATCACACCTCAAATTCTTGAACAGTGCATGTATAAGAAAACAGAAGTAAAGTGGAACTCTTTGCCACTAAGTACAGCAGGGGCATCATCACTATATATAGTGCAAATGTTATGTGTGACAAGTTGTCAGTGTGATATAACCAGCTGAAGCTGCTAGACAGACACAGAGTCCAGCCCACCTGTTGTTTGGAGACCCTGTGGGAGGGGGCATTGATCCCGAGGCGCTCCAGGGGGTACACGATCTGTCGTCGGGCGCGCACAGGAACCATCTCATTCAGTGCTGTGATCAGCGAATGGTGAGCTAGCATCTGGGGGCAGCAGAGTGTAGTGATATATCAGACTTAGCTGTTTTACTAATGTTAGACTTAGTGCTGGTATAGCAATGTTAGCAGTTTTTATCAAACCTAGGAGCAATGAATGCAAAATATCACACGTTTTTTGCAATGATAAAGAACAGGCCACACCAACAAGGCATCAAAAAGTCCTCCAGCTTTGTTTTTTCAGTTATGCATATTTTTTTCAAATCAGAGAACCAACAAGTTAAACTGGTGTGACCTTAGCATAGCAAAAATGAATTTCTGTCAAACAGATTAAAGAATTCAGCATTTGGTTGTGAACGGTCTATAAAACCATTAACGTAAATAAGTACCTCCTTTGGTGCATATGGCGGGTAGATGGGGTAGTACAGGCAGGACTTATGAGACAAACGCAGGACCTCCTGTGGGGCAGAAACAGACAAATTATCAACTCTGCATTTTGGAGCAGATTTTTCTAGATTGCAACATACTTAGACTGGAAGACAATTATCAAAAGACACTTGAAATATCATTGTTTAATAGCAAATGAGTAGACACATGACAGAAATAAAGATGCAATGCTGACACAAAGTCCCATTAAATTAAAAACAACATGTGCATGTGCATGTGTGTGTGTGTGCAGCAGTGCCCCTACCTTGAGGAAGTGTTTGGAGTAGTGTTGGAAGATGGGGTTCAGTGCCAGGTGGTGGATGTGCCCGTGCTCCGAGCGTGCGTGGTGGTTGTAGTAGATGAAGTCCTCCACGTTGTAGTGTGACCGGATATACTCCACATTCTGGAACAAACACAAACAAACAATCAGTATCAACAGTCAGATTTCAATTAGGAAGTTGTACTATTGAAGACATGCAGAACACAGTGATGCCATGGCTGCCCAAGGACTGCCTGTAACAACTTGATGCATCTGTAGACTGAATTCAATGCCACTGCTTCTGTATTTGCCTTTGTATTTTGTTGGTCAAACGGGCCCAACATCAACTATGATGCTAATGGTAAGCTGATAAGAAATGTGTAATTGCACTATGTAAACACTATGTACATTTCATGATTTACAGTAAGCTCACCTCCTCTCTCCTGAGGATGACCACACCCACAACTTGCTGCTGGCTCACGGCAACATAGGTCTGGATCTCAGTACCATCCTGTAAACAAACAAACAAACAAATAAACAAACACAGCAAGAAAGAAGTCTGAGATATCATCTCACTGTTGATACTAGAGTTTAGCTTCCCAACTGCAACTGCATTAAGAATAAGCTGATGTCTAATGGGTAATGGATGTTATTTCAGTACCATGAACAGGATTACTTCAACCAACCATTTTCTGAATGAGAAAAATAGTGCATGCTATCTGATTTAATTCGCTTGTACATGTATATCATAAATACATTCAGGTTGCAACAATAAACTCACAGGGTCCCTCCTGGCCTCGTTGTACTGCTGAAGATCCTTCAGTAGCTGTTCCCTCCCCTCAACAGATTGGACTAGTCCTTCCACTCCAGAAGTGTCCTCTGATGTAGCAGGACGTACCACAAAATCCCTATCAAGGGGGAAGGATTGGTAGTTAACTACTGTAGATAAAGTCCAACAATCTTTGGAGTGGCAGTACTGTAGTGAACATGATAGTACATTTGTAATTCATTTTGTAGATGCATTTAAAAAAGGGTTAAACTTGTTTTCAACCAGAATCCAAAGATTTAGAGAATGACTTACTTGAGCAGGCCTGCCCTGTGGAAAACATACAGCTCCTCTGCCAAGATACTGGGCACACGTGGGGTCACCCGCTGGAAATGTATGACATAATCATGCCTCATAAGGAACATGGAGATTTTGGCATGTCAAATGACTTCCAAATTTAGAGTACACAGGAAATGAAAAACCTTAAAACTTTTTTTTGTTGACTAGAATGGTAAGAAAAGTGGTGCAAGTAAGGTCTGCCTGGTGTATGCATTTTTTAAATGTAACCTTCATAAGTACATCTAATGTCCATAAAAAGTACTTCCAGCATAGACAGGCTAACTCACCACAAAGTTCTGCAGCAGGGGGAACTCTGGGACCAGGTGAGGCACGGTCATCACCACAAAGTCCTTCTCTGGGAACAGGCTGAAGATGTACGGCAGGAAGTCCTGCGACCTGCAACAAACAAATAAACAAACCAATTAACTTGTTTTTCTTGCAAACTATCACAGAAGGGGACCTTTTGTTATCAAATATGGCAGGGACCACTTCATTAAATACACATGTAGCATTGAAACAAATTGTTTGGTGTGATATGGCCAGCTGATGCATTTGTGTTTATAATAATTCAAAGTCAAAAGTTGTTTTTTCCTATAATCATACAAAATCATAATTACCCAAATTTGTTGCCAAACCCAGAAGTTACTGGCAGGAAATTCAAAAAGCAAGAAATTGCAAGAGGAGAAAACCAAATCAGACACTAGTCTAGAAAAATTATAGCCCTACCTCATCTCAAACCGTTCATCGATGCAGAACAGGTGGATACAGAAGGCATTGGATCCCCCCTTGTACACGGGGGTAAACCTGGGGGGCAGGAAGGGGGGTTCCAGTCCAGGGGAGGGAGACCGCTGGTCAGGGGCCGTGGTGGGGGGTGCCAGCTCTGCCCTGCTTGCAGCAGACTTCACTGAACCAACCTAGGAAAACAATGGGGGTGACTTTGTTACATTGGCAGGGGTCACACTTGTTTCCTGCTGAATACACCAATCCTGACATCATAATTATCAGTTCAACCAAAGACAGCATGGCAATAAGCAGATTAAATAATACGGGAATAAAGTATATGATGTTGTAGACAATGGTTGTAAGTCAACACAATTCAGACTACCCTACATGTTTGCATGCCTGATTTTGATGAAGATTTGGTTTGATTGCTTACCTTTGAAGCCTCTGACATGACACTTGTGGCTCTACTGGATTCACTCAGCAGTGAGGAGGAGCTGTGGAAAAATTGGGAAGGCCTTCAGAACACATGTAACATCTTAAAAAAATTCCAATATGGATTTAATATATTTTGAGTTTGCTTTAGTTGTTGGCATAGTATGGTACTATCAAATAGTAGAAGAAGCTCCTCTTCCTCTCAAATTTTATTTGTTACTGACTGTTACAATTTGTAGAGTTTATCAGACATGTAGAAAGTAAAAGAACAGCTTACCTCTCCCCCATGTGAGCCTCACTCAGCTTTGGCTTCACCTTCAGCTCTGAGACATCTGCGATGCTCCCTGATTGGGAAACAAATCAACAGAATAAACCGCACTCCTGCAAATGCACATATCAATAACCAACAGCAGAAACAACATTGAGAGTAGTGAATGCTAAATAGGGCAACGATGTGGAACGAAAATGACTTTTCCTTCTAGTATTTTCAAAACTAACCTTTTGACGACCTTTTTCCAGCCTGGGGTGTGCCAGTTACTGACGGGGCAGGTGACGGGGCAGCTGCTAGGGGGAGAAAAGTCAAGGTCAACTGTAGGGTCATAGTACAGAGAAATGTATCCAGACATGTTTTTAAGTAACAACTATTTGACGTGTTGATGTTAATTTTTGATAATCATAGAACTTAGAAACACCTTTAAGACTGTAAATACCTTTTTCGGGTGCTTCTTTTGTTGCTTCTGATGTTTCCCCAGTCATCGCTGTTTCCGACCTACAAAACAAGAAGGTTTGACAAGCCATTTTAGTCACCAAGGACAGGCATGTATACCTGAGCATGGACAGTGTTCAGAACCAAGGACAGGCATAAGTATTTGTATGAATAGTGTTCACTACCAGGGACAGGTATGATAACCTATGTGTATAGTGTTTAGAAACAGGGACAGATAATGTATACATGTATTTCTGGATAGTGTTCAGCACCAAGGTCAGACATGTGTACAGCGTCTACAAGCCTGTATGTTTATGAAAACAAACCCAATACCTCTTAGATTTGGCAGAAGCCTGTGAAGCTGCAGAGCTGGGTCTCTGGTCAGCTGTGGTGGGGGCTGTCTCGGAGGGTTCTGGAACAGCAGGGGGAGGGGTGGGCTCTCTGGGGGGTTCCAAAATATCATCAGGATGCGGAGTGCACAGCCCATGGAAGGGGCCCAACTCAAAACACTCCGCAAGAAGCGACGTGTTAACTTCATTGGATATACTCATGAAGCCAACAGCAGTGCCTTCAACCTAATGAAAAATATGTCACCATAATCAAGGTTTAGTGATTGTGAAAAAAAGACGATGGAAAGACTTGGAATTGGTAAGATTCTTTCAATATTACTGTTGAAGATGTTTTTAAATATTTGTGATGTCATAAAATCATGAAAACAAAACCACTGCAAACACTTTCAGATTTCCAGTCAGTAAGCTCATAGCCAGCAGTATGGCATGTTTCTCACCTCTGCGATGACACAGTGATTGTTGTCGTCCTGAGCCTCGATCAGTTCAGCCAGGAAGTAGTCTCCATATTTGGTACTGAGGACGTCGCTCTGGCGGTTGAAGATGGGTGTGAGGTCATCATGGTCCTCCACCCTGAGGAGAGGGACAGAGATTTCTGTTTTTGCATTTTTCTCACTCCAGCAATAACCACAGCGCAAACATTGACAAATCAACTTCTTTGCTCTCAGATAGTATAGAGCTAAAATTATGATTGAACACTAAAAATTTGCATGCCATAGAGTCTGAACCAGTAACCACTGAATTCAAACCAAGCACTCTACCCACTACACATTGCCAAAGGTGCCAGATGGCACCCATAGCAGGTTGAAGGTTAAACACAAAATCTGACCTGGCCTTCCTGACATGTAACACAGGTGCCTGCTCATGTCGGTGGGAGACAAAGATGGAGCAGCCGTCTGGGCCTTTAGCATCCTCCATCTTGTCCATGGGCTTGAAGATGGCAGACAGAGCAGGCTCTGCAACAGGTAACAAAAACAGTTGGTGCATTTCTCAAATATTTTGTATGTCAAGGTACATCAATGATCATAGGAAGAAAAGTATTCTTTTGTAAGTGTAACATTCAGTAACTGTGAAAGTGAGTAACAGTGTTTTGTCGTCACAAATCTTCTCATGGTACTAGTCTATCTGAAGTTGAACTTTTGCATCAATGGATGACTACTGACCTGGGAAGACCCCCTGAGGTACCACCAAGAAGCAGAAATGCAGGTCTGGAACTGCATTGAAGATTGTCCTGAAACATTATTAAATGACTTTTCATTTCCATTCTTATTGTCAATGTGGTTTAAAAATCAGATTGGATTTTATGTTGAACTGCATTTTAGCACACCTACCTGATGATCTCCTGAGCACAGCCATGGGCATATTCCTTCCTGGCCACAAAGTAGTGGACAAACAGGCTGTTCAGGGGCTGCAAAATACAACAGTAGGATGTTTGTTACAGGGAGAAATTTCTTGCCTATGCACCATCCTATTGAAGAGGCATGTACCCAGCTATCACTGTACATTGAAATCATACAAGCTTGTCTTTTCTTGTTTAGTTGTTCAGCATGTACTGCATTTATCCCTTCTGGGCATGAATATGCAATAAAGGTCATTGTGGTCACCATACTCCATCACTATACTCACAGTGCAGTTTGCTGTGTCGTAGTTCTGACTGAGCCATTGCTGCCATTCTGCCTGGTCAGCCTCGGTGGTGTTTGGGTAGTCGTACAGCGCTGCATGGCCCAGGATGTCGTCCTGCTCGTTACACAATGTCACGGCCAAGTTTGCCTTCTCTCTGTAAATGGATTAAAATTGACAGCATGTTTTCACATGAAGCAAAATATAGTGTGTTTCCTCTTTGTTTTCTAAATTGTTTAGCTTGTTCTGCAAGAAAACCATAGGGCCAACAGATTTTATGGCTCTGACTTGTTTCCATGCATCTTTTTTCTACACTATTTTAATCACTTTGCAAGTCAAAAATCCTGAAGCTGTATACCTTTAAACTTTCAAACATCAGATTTGGAGTCTACATTCCTAGGAAATCATCATATAGACAATCTGAGAGGCCCAGACTACAATGATACAGAACTAAGGAGAAAACTAGACTCACATGACACAGACGATCATGATAAGATGATATGATGATATGGGATATAATTTTATATGTCAAGCAGTCAAACAGACAAACAAATAGGACTCACATGACACTGACGACGTTGACCCTCCCAAACAGCTGCTCGGTGGAGCTGGTGGACAGCTGTTCAATCCTGGGGGCGTCCAGCGACTCAGTCCGCCGGGCGTTGATGACCTCCGTGGGGCCTCCGGGGGAAGAAATGGACGTCATTCCGCTGCTCAGGGTTCTGACAGGATGAAATAATTGTTTTATGAATTGACTGGTTACTTGAACTGTGCAGCTGCTGAAGCACATTAATTATTGAAATTTAACATATTTATATACTAATATATTGTGATATAAATAAATACATGTACTATGATATATGAAGTGTAGTTTTATTGTGATGACTAATTGTTAATAAGGCAACCAGTTCAAATCTTGAGCTGCCAAAAATTCTGAGAATAACAAGGCAGGTTTAAATTGTGCCATCTGTCAAAATTGTGAAGACACATAATTATAACTTGCAGTCTGGTCTTGGATTTACGTCTTCTTGTGACCAAAATACGATGAACAGACAGCATGTCAATGAACTGAACTATACTCTGTGTTATTGTTTCTTTGATATGGGTGAAAAAATCAGCGTTAAATCCCCACCAACATCCAGAGCCTGTTGTGTTGTGTCTGATTCAAGAGTATGCTAGACCTCACATACACAAAACTAGCTACACAAGACTACTGTGACACACTATAATGAATACGACCCAATAACTCCTTCTTTTATAACACTGGAAGCTTCTTCTTGGACTAGATGTTGTAGGAAATGTGCACGTACCTTCAGTTGGCCTTTTTTCAAGTGAATATGTCACAAAAATTGGAAAAAATCTGAGTAACAATCAACAGAGAGCCGCCATCTTTGTTTTCCTATCGCCTGGCAACTACCCCGATTGAGTATGTAACAACTTTTCTTATTGGTCCGCAGGTGGCTAATTTCACAACGGACGTGTTGATTGGTCAAATGACCTTAATGTAGTTGAAGGCCAAATATGCCACAAAATGTGCATATTTCTTAAACTACGATCATTAGGTCTGTCTTAATACGAGAGGGAGACTTAGATTTCACCAAGAAAACTGTTCTCAAGACCACCGCAGTCTTGATTTGAAAAGACGCTCTCGTACACAGAATCTGGGTCAAAGGTTACGGCTCTGGGAACGAGCTTTACGTGTGCGGAACGCGCAACCATTTCGAGTTGAAAGAAAGGAGGGAAAAACGTGTGCCTTTAGACGTTGTTTTCAGTTCGTAAAGAAAACAAGCGACGCTCACAATGGCTTCGACATCAGGTGGAGCGCCAGGGAAGCCTCAGCGGATCCCTAAAGTGGCCAAGGTGGGCAGGTTTTGCTTTCAAAATTCATTGTCAACAGGAATTATTCTGTCTCACCAACAGCTAACACATGGGGGGGGGGGTAGAGGTACTCTTCTAGTTCTAACTTCTACTCAGGATACTTTGCAAGCTAGTTATGAGACTACGAACAAATCTTCCTTGTTTCATATGTCTTAAAATCAGCTTTGTATACAGAGCACGGGACGAATAATGTCTATAACACGTTACAGCTAGCCCCGTCATATATTGATGACTGAAGATCTGAAAATATAAACCTTTGTGTACTGTTCACTGTTTGCAAAAACTAGTACATTTTTACATGGTATAAAGCTGATTTTGACCCTGACCATACTAAATTATGGTGATGTCAATAAGCCTTGAATAACTATGTATCTTTTATCTGTCTGTCCTCGGTGAATGGTTTGTTCTTCATTCTTGAAAACAGAAAAGTTGATTTATTAATTTCCTTCCCACAGGTTAAGAACAAGATGCCAGCCCCAGTACAGATCACTGCAGAACAACTGCTGAGAGAAGCTAAGGAGAGGGAACTGGAGGTTCTACCCCCGGTAAGGAGTAATGTTTCTTCTGAAATTAACCTGCGTAGAGTATCACTTGGAGATGGGCGATGCAATGGCCTATCTTTACTGAGGAAAATAAATATTTCTTCTTGCAAAAAGGAGATAAAGCTTGGAATCTGGTAGTACTGTGTAGTGAATGAATGAATCTGCCAGTGGTAGTATTGTGTTTTGAATGAATGTTTGATGAAAACTTACAGTGAAATGATGTCTTCTTTCTCCACAGCCACCAAAGCAGAAGATCTCAGATGAGGAAGAGCTGAAGGAGTATCAGCTAAGGAAAAGAAAGGTTGGTGTTCTGTTGTTAATCCTCTACCTCATGAGGGAGCAGCTGTGGTACAGAAAAAGTAAAGAAGCTTCAACTCTGTATCATGTCTACACTATGGTTTATACCAGATGGAAGATTACCAAACATGATGGTAAGCATGATAAGCTTCAAAGGTAACTTCAGTTAGGCATGCAGGAATTTGGTATGTATTTTCAATGTTTTCTTGATTATAAACTGACAGTTCACTGAATTTAGATCAGAATTCCTAAATCAAAATAATATTTCTTCCATTCCCTCTACAGGAATTTGAGGACAACATCAGGAAGAACCGTGGGCTGATCGGCAACTGGCTGAAGTATGCTCAGTGGGAGGAGAGTCAGAAGGAGCTGGACAGGTACAGTAATGTTCTTTGTTGGTCTATATAAAGTACTTAAGTCAGAATGTGTCAGAATTTAAGGAAAACTTTTTTCAACAGTATATCCAAGAGTGATTCAATCTTCTCCCTGCTCCATAATCTGATACCAATACAAATTTGGTAGCTATCTCAGCAGGGAGAAGGTTAAGGAATTTTTGCAGATAGGAGTTAACTATGAAACACTGGCTTAATGGAGACTTATGCCCCTTGTGTGCTGTCTGACATTGATGTATTTTGTAAAACACACGAACACTCATGCTGTCTTACAGGGCGCGCTCAGTGTACGAGCGTGCCATTGATGTGGAGCATCGTAACATCACCCTGTGGCTGAAGTACTCGGAGATGGAGATGAAGAACCGCCAGGTTAACCACGCCCGTAACGTGTTCGACCGAGCCATCACTATCCTCCCCCGGGCCAACCAGCTGTGGTCAGTCACAACTTAAAGTCTTCTGTAACCTTTTCCCTGATACCTAACCCCATTTTTTCCTATTATAGAAATAATGACTCTATATATAACTGTATAGTTACAGATGAATGCCCATAATGATAGTGCGATACTGTGTCTGTAGGCTGAAGTATGTGTACATGGAGGAGATGTTGGTGAACATTGCGGGATGCAGACAGGTGTTTGAGAGATGGATGGAGTGGGAACCTGAGGAACAGGTGAGATCAAAAGCATTTTCCTTTTAGACCATTTTCATCAAGGTTGAGTATTTTCCTGTATCTGTACCTGTTGAGTTTGTCCAAAGCTGAGGTGTGATCATAAAAATTGTTACTTCATTATATTCATTTGGGAAGTTTTGCATGAACATTCTGACAGTCACAAGTTGTCATCTTCCTCTGCAGTACTGGCACCAATTTGTGAACTTTGAGCTGAGGTTCAAGGAGATCGACAGAGCACGGACCATCTATGAGAGATATATCCTTTGATTCTAGTTGTGTCTTCATAAATAATGCTGAGTACACAATAATAGCTATTGGTAGATGGTCTACAAGGGCATACAAGACACATGGTCTAGAAGGGCATACAAGACACAAAGTACTTGTTATTGAAGTTACACTTTAAGACTAGATAAATGTGCATCTACACAGCATAACTTGCCCAAGAACATTCAAGTTATGCTTCAGAGCTATGTGTGCAAACTATCTGACCATCTGGTGCATAGGGCAACAGTTTTATTGTATAATTTTTGTTTTGTTTGTTTGCTTGCTTGTTTGTTTGCTTGCTTCCTTGTTTGTTGATCAGTGTGCATTTCCTTGACTCCTGTGTACTTGTCATGGTGCATCCGACAGTTCAAAATTGGATCAAGTACGCTAAGTTTGAGGAGCGACATGGCTTCACTGCCAGCTCCCGTAAGGTGTACGAGAGAGCTGTGGAGTTCTTCGGAGAAGACCACATGGACGAGAAGCTTTATGTGGCTTTTGCTAAGTTTGAGGAGCATCAGAAAGAGGTATGTATGTGAGGAACACCAGTGAAATGACTAAATAAAAAAATTGAAATGGATTCATGATGGTTTGTAGTTTGAATCCTACTTTGACAGTAGATTGGTACAGGTTAGTTTTATCTGGTGCAGGTTATGGTACCCCACCAGTGCTGGCATAAAGGAAAAAGCTATTTTCAAGCCCTAATAGCTGACATCAACATTACTGTTCTATCCCCTCAGCATGACAGAGTGCGAGTCATCTACAAGTACGCGCTGGACCGGATCCCCAAACAGGAGGCTCAGGACCTGTTCAAGAGTTACACCATCCACGAGAAGAAGTATGGTGACAGGGCTGGCATCGAGAACGTCATCGTCAGCAAACGCAAGTTCCAGTATGAAGAGGTGGAGTCACTGGATTGTGCTTTCTTTTGATTTTTGTTGATAATGCAATTTATTCCTGCTTGAACCTAACAAGCTGTTCACTTGTTTCTGATCTTTTTTGTGCAAAAATTTAGAAGGAGGAACAATTGTAAGATTGTAGACTGATTTGTTTGTTGAAAAGTTCCTTTCCTCCCACTACCCATTCAGGAAGTGAAAGCAAACCCCAACAACTATGATGCGTGGTTTGACTACCTGCGCCTGTTGGAGAGTGATGGCACGGTGGACCAGGTGCGTGAGGTGTACGAGAGAGCGATCGCCAACGTCCCTCCCACCCCGGAGAAACGGTTCTGGCGCAGGTACATCTACCTCTGGATCAACTATGGCCTGTATGAGGAGCTGGAGGCCAAGGTCAGGCTTGTTTGTTTGTTATTCTGTTGATGTATCATCACTTGTAAACAAGATTGATTAGTTTGAGCCGTGGACTTCAAGACTTACCCTTACTATTATTGCTAAATGTGATCAGAGTGTAAGCATACTCAAGGTTTGCTCCCCTGGCTTAAAAACCTGACAGAAAAATATGAAAACTCTGGTGCAGTACCATAGAAATCTGATAGAGTGTCTAAAGGTGTCATCTTGTTTGCTGACATGCTCTCTGTTACTTTACCAGGACATGGAAAGGACACGTATGGTGTACAAGGCCTGCCTAGAAGTCATTCCACACAAAAAGGTAATATTTCATTAGCTGGAATTTCAATTGTAATATTTGTAGTCAAGTCTTAAGATCTGCTTGGAGATAGATCGTAATTAGAAATAAACCTGTGATATTCTTTGTTCTTCTGCACAGTTCACCTTTGCGAAGATCTGGCTGCTGTGTGCCCAGTTCGAGGTGCGACAGAAGAACCTGGCGGGGGCTCGGCGGGTGCTAGGCAATGCCATTGGGCGCTGTCCCAAAGACAAGCTGTTCAAGGGCTACATCGAACTGGAACTGCAGCTGCGCGAGTTTGACCGCTGTCGCATCCTGTACGATGATTGTTTTGCTTTGTCTCTTGCTTAGTGCACAAACAGCAAGAGCAGATTTAGAATACATGTAATAGAATAGCGGAATATGTCAATGAAGGTTTGATGTACAATTTAGATTTTTTTTTTTAAATTGGGGCCAAATTAGCAGTAACCAAAGACATACAATGTAAGATGTGGAGGTATTCCAATGTCATTCTGATCAGCATTTGATGTTTCTGTATTATTTCCTTGGTTAGGTACGAAAAGTTTCTGGAGTTCGGCCCAGAGAACTGCACCTCCTGGATCAAGTTTGCTGAGCTTGAGACAATCCTCGGGGACGTGGAGCGGGCGCGGGCGATCTACGAGCTGGCCATCAGCCAGCCCAAACTGGACATGCCCGAGATGCTGTGGAAGTCGTACATCGACTTTGAGATCGAGCAGGAGGAGCCGCAGAGGGTCCGGGAGCTGTACAGTAGGCTGCTGGAGAGGACACAACATGTCAAGGTTAACCTGCAGCCTGATTAAGTAGCTGTTTGGCTCCAAATGTGTGTAGGGTATGAGGCTAGACAGCAGGGAGAAGGTTAAACTGTAATTGTAAGAGTACACATTTCAAATTGACAAATTGAGTGGGTAGTGGACCTGTATGATATGTTGCTGGAGACAACAATCAGGTACTGGAAGGCTGAAAATTATACTCAACTCACTTGTAATGGTAACTTTTCTGTTTGTTTCTTTCCTGTATGCAGGTTTGGATCAGTTATGCAAAGTTTGAGCTGTCCGTAGCTGGGGAGGACATGGCTGCCAGGGCAAGGTGAGAACAACTTTTAACAAAGGAGTGTGATCTCAAACCAGTTAGCCCAATGAAGTTAAGTCCAGTATTGTGCATGTTGGGAGAGCAACATGAGCCGGGATTCAAACCTCTTGGCAGGGTCACTAACCACTCTCTTGTTAAGTCACTATAGACAGGTTTGACATACATGTAGTTCTGACCTGTTTTTGTTTGCTTCTGTTGCACCACAGGAAGATCTTTGAGCAGGGCAACCGAGCGCTGCGGAACTGTGAGGAGAAGGAGGAGCGGCTGATGCTCCTGGAGGCCTGGAGGGACGTGGAGGTCAGAACTGTTTCATCTCAACTTTCCTACATACATCTCTGATTCTGTCTATGTATTTTCCAACTGGCTCCCATAAGGCAACAGACATGTATGTGGCAGGAAATGAAAGTTGGGAAATGAGATAACCTTTTCTGAGCGGACATTATAAATAACTTCTTAGCAGTGTCTCCAATGTGCCTAGCATGCAGAAATAACTATGGAAACGCAAGCAAACACACAAACACATACACCGAAAACAAAGCTTTCAAAAGGCGATTAAAGGGAAAATAAGTGCTGTTGATGGTTTGTGTACAGTGATTTTTCCTTTATGTTCCAGGAGGAGGCTGGATCTGTGGAGAGTCTGGAGAAGGTGAACAAACTGATGCCCAAGCGGGTCAAGAAGAGGAGGAAGGTCCAGACAGAAGATGGGGTAAGAAGAGTCTTAATTACTACTTAATGCCAATTTCTGTGAAAACTAATACTCTCTGAATAGACACTTAAACATCCACACAGCAACAAGTTGATAGGGGAGGCTTATAAGTCATTAGATCTTTCAAATTCCCGATATCTTCTAAAATCCTCGTTGTGCACCTACACAGATGGATGCAGGGTGGGAGGAGTACTATGACTACATCTTCCCCGAGGACGAGGCCAACCAGCCTAACCTCAAGCTCCTCGCCATGGCCAAGAGATGGAAGGAGCAGAAGGAGCGGGTGGACGATCAGGAGGAGGGGAGTACCAGTAGTGATGAAGATGATGATGATGAGAAACAGGCTGAAGGGGAGAGGGGGGCTGGGATGTTGGCAATGGCAAAACAGTGGAAGAAGCAGCGAAATGCTGACGAGATTGATATAAGTGGTAGTGACGAGGAGGGGAGTGAGGGAGGGAAAGAAGAGAGCAGAGAAAAGACCAAACAGTTGCGAAGACAGAAGGATCCCGATAAAGATAGCAGTAGTGAAGAGGAGGCAAGGGAGAGAAAGAAGGAGGGAAGGGCAGAGAGAGAAGACAGCTCTGATAGCTCAAGTAGTAGCAGTAGTGAAGATGAAGATAGACAAAAGAAAGGAAAGAGGAGAAAACGTGGAAGTAGCAGCAGTAGTAGTAGCAGTTCTGAAGAGGAGAGAGACAAGGAGAGGAGGAAAAGGATTGAGGGCGGGGAGGATGAGGATGCTGACACAGACATCAGTGATGATGACTGATGCTCGTCTTTTATTTTCCTTTCCGTCAGCAACGTGTAAATTTGAGTAGAATTAATCAGTGCAACCGTGATTCAGTGAATTTTGAGACATATATAGAATTTCCCTTTTTGTATTGTATAAGCAAGGAGCTTCTATAGAAGCTCAGTACAGTGCCTTCTATAGAAGCTCCTTGGTATAAGGCAGTTATATGAACCATAGTTGTAACAGAAATAGGGACCACTGCAAGCCTGTGTGAGGGCACTTGGCCTGACCAATATGTATTGCCAGTGCTTCTCTGGTATGTTTGGAAACATGTAAATAGCATTAACATTGCTTTATTTCCTAAGGCCTTATTTACCCACACTAGAAAAGTATCTATAGACTTTGCAAATAAATGTTGCCACAAAGCAGCTGTGCAGTTCTCTTCCGTGTTTGTTTCTTTCATGTGTGTAAAGCTGAAGAAGACTGTCATATTCACATTCCCTTTTCTGCGTGTACAACTCTCTATTAGCCTGGGTGCCAACCGATTTGTAAGGGCAACCCCGAAAAAATTTACAAATCGGATGGCACCCAGGCAACCTCTCTATAGATGTCAACAAGAATTTGGGAGTATGATTGTGACTGCAAAAAATGAATTGAACTTTTATTGTTAAGGAAGTGGATAGTTCTAGGACTTTGTGATTCATGGAAGCTCTGAAAATCCTAACGAAGGAGTGGACGTTACTTTCGTTCCTTGCACCCCTTGTCTTCAAATGTAATCGTCCTCAGGTCAAAGTTGAAAGCATCATGGCGTCGCTCATGCTGGAGGTGTGTCGGCCGGTGTGTAAAATGTGTGCGAAACGCCTTCGTCTGAGCTGTATGAGAAATATAAGTGGACTTTTCACGCAAAGTGGATACAGGAGACTCAGTACAAGTAACGATCGTGACAGAAAAGGCCCTAGTTCTCAAGAAATTCGCAAGACATTCTTGGACTTCTTCAAAGTGAAGTACGATCATCTCCTGGTCCCTTCCTCGTCTATTGTGCCCAAAAATGACCCGACTTTGCTGTTCATCAACGCCGGCATGAACCAGGTATTAAACACTTGGCCTGTTCAATATGTGTTTATTTTAAGATTACGGAAAAATCTGCCTTTTTTTACTAAAACCAGACGGTGTAAAACACGCAATTCTACCGCGAAATGATCCATTTAGTCTTGAAGATTTTGCACTTGGGCTGCTGTAAATAAAGGTTTCACAGCTTACACTGAAGTGTTACATTTATTTCTTTTCCTTTAAGTTTAAACCACTTATCCAGGGAACAGTGGATCCAAGAAGTGACATGGCAAAGTGAGTATGGCTTCAAATAATCAAGCAAGCAAGCAATTGAGGTTCTGTCTCTTTTAGAGTACATTGTAGTTCCCAAAGGATTCACTGCATGTTCACGAATGTGGTGAGTTAGTGAAATATTGAGTTTGATATTGTTGATAGGGGTTCCTCAAGAAATAATGTTGGGACCATTGTTAATATCCATTGTAGGTACAGAAGCTTCGTACTTGTCTGCTTTTTGTTTTACGTAGTGATAGGTAGGGTTCCTCATAGAAAACAATGAGAGCATTGAAGATATAGAGTGGTTGTGGCATGTTGGGCTTCTACATTGGTTGAAAGGGGTTCTCAAGGACCACCGTTAGGACCTTTGCTACTGTGTGCTGCAGGTACAGAAGAGTGGTGAACAGTCAGAAGTGCATCCGGGCAGGAGGGAAACACAACGACCTGGAGGACGTTGGAAGGGACTGCTACCACCATACTGTCTTTGAGATGCTGGGCAACTGGTCCTTTGGAGACTTCTTCAAGGTGACCATGGAAACCAGCATTGTGCTGTACTATTTCTGGTTGAACTTTCATTTAAAGTGTGATGTGTTCTATTTTATACAGTCAAAACTGCTCAAGATCACTCAGCAGACTGATAAATCTGGTCTACGTGGACAGGTGGTCACTATAGACATGACTCTTAATGCTTGTGTCTATGGAAAAATTTAGCTAAGGGACCACCAAAACCTAGTCACATTGGCCAGGTTGTCCTTATGTAGAGGTGGCCACTTGTACAGTTTTTACTATTTTGAAATGTTAATGGGAACTTTGCTCTCCTTCCATTCCCCTTCCCTATAGAAAGAGGCTTGTGCCATGGCTTGGGAGCTGCTGACTGATGTGTACAGGATCCCTGTGGACAGGCTGTACATCACGTACTTTGGGGGTGACACTGAACTCGGTCTGCAGCCTGATCTGGAGTGCAGGGAGATCTGGGCCAGTCTGGGGTGAGTCATGCTGTTCTGTAGCTTAATCTTGAGTTGGAGTAATGGGCTTCGGGGCCAGGGGAGAGACCAAAAATGGCATTGTCTTGAGGAAGACATGATTAATTTTGAAAAGATCAATCCTACATAGATTCATGCTGCACACTTGACATTCTTTCTTAGCATGCCATACTCCATTACCATACGACATTATGTGTCCTCCGCCCCTGTCTGCAGGGTTCCTGCAGCCAGAATCCTGCCCTGCGGAATGAGGGATAACTTCTGGGAGATGGGTGATGTGGGACCCTGTGGACCGTGTACGGAGATCCACTATGACCACCGAGGCGTGAGGGCCGCCAGTCGACTGGTCAACACGGACAGTCCTGAGGTGGTGGAACTCTGGAACCTGGTCTTCATGCAGTTCAACAGGTCAGAGGTCAGAGGTTAATAGAATATGGCCCTAATGCAATTCAACATGTCAGATGTCAGGGAAGAATTTGCTTCATGCAGTTCAACTGGTGAGAGATATCTGTTGACTCAGTTTAGCTCATAGAAAAGCCATACTCTTTATTGCTGGCTGTGTAATGTTTGCTTATTATTCTTGTTTGCTACTGTTTTCCTCTGTCTTCCATAGGGAGTTCAGACGGCAGCCTGCGGCCCTCCCCGCCATGTGGTGGACACAGGGGATGGGCCTGGAGCGGCTGGTCGCTGTCCTGCAGGGGAAACTCTCCAACTACGACACTGATGTCTTCTCACCGATACTCCACGCCATTCACAAGGTGGGTGAGGGTCTGTAGGCCATACAAACTTATATGTCTGTGTAACAGCCCCAATTCTTTACAAGATGTTTTCATGGGTTCTTAAGTGTTCTCAAGGTGTGA